ATCTTTAGGGGGTGTATTGGTTTAGGATTTCATATGATTTTAAAAAGACTTTTTTTGAGTAAAAAAGTTTGTTAGTATTCAATTAGGATTTTATGTCACTTAAAAACAATCCAGTGGTATTCATTTAAGATTTTCAAGGTTTTTAAAGAGTCCATTAAAATCTATTGATATTCATTTGAGACTTTTTACAACTTAAAAATAATCCATTGATATTCAAAAATATAAGAATTTTAAAGGATTGTTGTATTAGAGGAATTTTGATGGACTTTTTAGTGGTATCTATAAATACCAAATTCATAAAACAATCTCATCTAAACCCATAAGATTTTGGAGGATTGTTTGAAGTGACTTTTTAAGTGTTTCAAGAATTTTCAAGTGAGGTTTCATTTTATTTTTTTTTTTCTATGCTCATGTCTTCTCCATTTTTTTTCTCTTGTTAATAATACTGCACTACTACTTATATATAATATTATACTACTGTTCTCATTCCATTCTCCTATTTGGTAAAATTTCTATACGTAAATGATAGTGTCATTAACTTGCTCTATTTTTCTCTCTGTTCTCTTTAATTAACTTGATCTATTTTGGTCTATTTAATTGAGATTGTTCCTCAGTTATATAGCACAGAAAACACTTGAAATTTTAACTTTTAAGTAGTAATTTTTTTATAACACGCGTTAAGAAAAGGAAAAGGTGAAAACTAAAATTAATATCACGATCTCTATAATCAACTATAGATCTTCAAGACCTTGTAATCAATTTAGATTTATTAGAACAATATATATATATATATATATATATATATGTAAAAGATGAATTTGAGTTAGAGTTTCTGTAAGTAGAATGAGATAAGAATGGATCTTAGTTGGGGGAAGAACCCTCTCAACATAAAAAATGCGATCTCTCTCCCTCTCTTGAATTTGTTATTGTTATCATTCTCCTTTTATGACTCAACAATTATTTTATTTCCTTTTTTTATTATGAATTTTATTTTCTTAATTTTTATATTATGAAATTAGGATTTTTATATTTTAAAAAGGAAAATTAACATAAAACATTGCAGTATCTTAGAATTTAATACTAAAGATATTTCTTCACGAGTGAATAATTGAAATCAATTAAAAATTAAAAAAAATTATTTTGTACCTGTAACAAATTTCAGATATTTTTTTTTCTTCCAATTGATGTTTGTAAACTTTTACTTTAGTACTGATATAAAATGAAGGGATATATTTAGTTATAAGAGAGTAGGGTAGTTGTCCCACTATTTCTTTTAATCATTTATAAAATTATAAATAAAATATTTTAAATCACAAATTATAAAAAATTGGAAATGTTGTTTAAAATAATTTTTAGCATGTATGGGACTACATAACTTTCTACGTAAAGAATGTTATTATGATGAATTTCCAATTGAAGTGATGGACGAATCTTCATCTTCAACATTACTAGTTAATAAAAATCATAATTTTGAGTCTATTATTAAAACACAGGAACAACAGTGAAAAGATACTAATGTTTGAAGGACTAGTATAAATATGGATATGTGGGTAAATTTTATTTATAACGACATGATATTACGAAAAATTATTATTACTATTTATCCAAACATTATTGTTTTTTTATTATTTTTATATTTGACTCTTTTTAAATTTGAATGTATGAAAAAAAAATCATGAATTCTTATCCTATGTCAAAAATTTATGAAATTTTGTAAAGTTCACAAAGTCCCGCATAATCCATTGAAATCCTAACTTAAAAGTCTTGCATAATCCATTAAAATCCTGATTGAAAGTCTTGTGAAATCCTACAAAATCTTAAAAGTCATGAAAATCTTACAAAGTCTTTTAAAATTCACAGGACTTTTTTTAACTAAAAAAATCCTTTAAAATCCTAATACAATACACCTCCCTAAAATTAATATCATGATCTCTATAATCAACTATAGATCTTCAAGACCTTGTAATCAATTTAAATTTATTAGAACAATATATATGTAAAAGATGAATTTGAGTTAGAGTTTCTGTAAGTAGAATGAGATAAGAATGGATCTTAGTTGGGAGAAGAACCCTCTCAACATAAAAAATGCGATCTCTCTCCCTCTCTTGAATTTGTTATTGTTATCATTTTCCTTTTATGACTCAACAATTATTTTATTTCTTTTTTTTACTATGAATTTTGTAACGACCCGACAGGCCACTACACTTCAATCATAGCATACCGGAAACACTAGACAGAATAGAACGAGTATATAAATATAGAGTCTAGAATATAAATATATACATATGTCCCGAGTCCGACTAGAGTTAGGGCATGCAAAACAAGAATTACATCAGAAGTCACTATGCCAAGTGACTAAAACAAACAAAACATCCATAGAAGTCAACTCCATCTATCAGTTGCCGACTCATCGCTATCCACCTCCTATCCCTGCTCTGCTCCCGTACATAGTACGATCATAACAGTCCAACCACATGGAAACACAAAGGGTAAGCTAGCGTAAAGAAACAACATATAGAAAGATTTTTAAGAAAATATAAACAACCACGACTATTTACACTTCATCAACATACATTCCCTCGGTTTTCAACATTTATCATCAATAAGCATACAATGCGTCGTCACGCATATCAACTCGGAGATCTCCTACAATAACTCAGCCTTTCGGCCTACAACAACTCAGCCTTGCGGCCTACAACAACTCACATCAATATTCCAACACAACTCAACTTATACATCTCAACATAACAACTTACAACACAACACCAATGTACAACTCAACATATAAACTCCACAGTTCACATATCATCTACAACATAACACCACTCCTCAATACATTTACCAAATACAACTCAATGTCAACAACAACTTATCTACTAGTCATCATTTCATAACCTTCCATTTCCACTCAACTCAACAGGAAACATCATATATAACAGTCTCATCTCCGCGCCCGGCGCACACGTGGTTGCGCCCAGCGCAGTACAACCAGAGAGCATCAGGGGGTCAGCGCGCCCAGCGCAGGTGTACCCGCGCCCGGCGGGACTCAGCCAGAGAACCCAAGGCTCCCTCGCGCTTGGCGCAATAACCAATTGCGCCCAGCGCATGCCAGGCAGAGACCCCAAGGGCCCCGCGCGCCCGGCGTGCCCAAACCCCCGCCCAGCGCGGGGAAGGCAGAAACCTCCCTTGTTCTCGCGCCCAACGCAATTCAAATTTGTGCCTAGCGCCCACAAGGCAGAGACTCCTAGGGAGTCTCACGCCCAGCGCGACAAGGGTCGCGCTCAGCGCAGCCTCAAGAACCCAAAAACAAGTTACAACGAGTATCGCGCCCAGCGCGGTCCACGTTGCGCCCAGCGCGGTCCACATCATGCCCAGCGCGGGCCAACCAGAGACCCACATTCTCAAGCGCGCCCGACGCACTCATCATCGCGCCCGGCGAGCTTGGCCAAATGGGGTCTCCTGGTGGCCACGCGCCCAGCGCGATGAACAGCGCTCAGCGCGAAGCTCCGCAGCAACCCTCCATTTTCAAAAAATTCTTCAAACATCTACAAAATGACCAGAAACTTCACATGCAATCGGTTCAAATTTCTACATTTCCATCCGAGAGTCCAAAATTACAACCTTTTTCAACATGCAATAACAGATCAAGGATCTTCCCCAAAATTTCTCAACAACCCCAAAACCCAAAAAAAAAAACAAGTTTTCTTTCAATTCAGCCACGAACCAGCCATCAACAAGCATCCAATGAGTTTCTAGAACTCGTCCACAGCCAAAAACAGTGAAAAAGAAACAAAAATACTAGCTTCCCTTACCTCGGCCAAAAATCCAAGTTTCGGGAAAGGAAACGGAGAAGTGGAAGAGAGAACGGACGGAGACCAAAGGAGAATGAAAATCTTCAGCTAGTTTCCACACCAAGCTCAGCACCTTCAGTTCAAAAAGAGTACCACCAAAGTTCAAGAACAAGGAAAAAGGGTGAAAGAGACAAAGAGAGTGAAGGAGAGAATTTTTTGAATGAGAGTTGGGGGGAGGGGAAAGGAGGTGTATATCACTTACGGGTCTCACAAATTTTATTTTCTTAATTTTTATATTATGAAATTAGGATTTTTATATTTTAAAAAGGAAAATTAACATAAGACATTGCAGTATCTTAGAATTTAATACTAAAAATATTTCTTCATGAGTGAATAATTGAAAGCAATTAAAAATTAAAAAAATTATTTTGTACCTATAACAAATTTCAGATTTTTTTTTTCTCCCAATTGATGTTTGTAAATTTATAATTTAGTACCGATATAAAATGAAGGGACATATTTAGTTATAAGAGAGTAGGGTAGTTGTCCCACTATTTTTTTAATCATTTATAAAATTATAAATAAAATATTTTAAATCACAAATTATAAAAAATTTAAAATGTTGTTTAGAATAATTTTTAGCATGTGTGGGACTACATAACTTTCTTCGTAAAGAATGTGATTGTGATGAATTTCTAATTGAAGTGATGGACGAACCTTCATCTTCAACATTACTAGTTAATGAAAATCATAATTTTGAGCCTATTATTAAAACACAGGAACAACAGTGAAAAGATACTAATGTTTGAAGGACTAATATAGCTATGAATATGTGAGTAAATTTTATTTATAACGACATGATATTACGAAAAATTATTATTACTATTTATCTAAATATTATTATTATTTTATTATTTTGATATTTGACTCTTTTTAAATTTGAATATATGAAAAAAAATCATGAATTCTTATCCTATGTCAAAAATTTATGAAATTTTGTAAAGTTCACAAAGTCTCGCAGAATCTATTGAAATCCTAACTTAAAAGTCTTCCATAATCCATTAAAATCCTGATTGAAAATCTTGTAAAATCCTACAAAATCTTAAAAATCATAAAATTTTTACAAAAAGTCTTTTAAAATTCACAAGACTTTTTTTAACTAAAAAAATCCCTTAAAATCCTACTCCAATAACCCCTTAATCTCTAAATCGTAATCATAGAATTGCGCTACAAATTTTCAGGTAAAAGCACAACACTCACACCTCTCCTGTGCGTTTCCACTGTTGTCATCATCACACACTGCTCACAACAATCACAGTTACTTGGAATCTTTCTTCTCAAGCCTGAGCCAGATTCGTTGCTTCCACCATGGAGGAACAAATCCCATTTAAGAATCTCCATAGCCGAGAGTATTCCGGTCACAAGAAGAAGGTACCCTTTTGCTCCCCTTTTCCCATTCATGGTAAACGCGTTCAAAGCTCTAAACTTTCCTGCTTCAATGCTTCGGGTTGTGTCAAAAACAAGCCCTTTCTCACTTTTTATGCTTCAATTCTGAAATGGGTATTTTTTTTTTCCTCCAATAGGTGCACTCTGTGGCTTGGAATTGCACTGGTACAAAACTTGCTTCTGGCTCTGTGGACCAAACTGCGCGAATATGGCACATTGAGCCACATGGGCATGTAAGATTATGCCTAATAGCTCCCTTGTTTTGCGTGTGGGGCTGAATTTTTTGATTTTGTATTTATATGTTTTATCAGAATAGCTCTCAGAGGGATGAGACAGCAAGTGATTTTGTTTAATGTCATGGATTGGATTAGATGAGACAAAGGGCATTTATATTAGCATTTGGTCTAGGCTAGTCTTTTGGGTTGGTGTGACATATTGGCCACATAGACATGGTGTCATTTGATTTCAGAAAGCATAAGTTATTTTTTACAAAGAAATGTGGTAGGTTTGCTGCTTGTAAAAAAAAATTGAGTGGCCTTGAGTGTTGATATTTTGTTTAATAATGCTCGCTTTGAAATTACTGTAGAAGAAATAACATGACCTCTAAAGGATTCGGGTTTAGGTAAATATGTCCTTTCACATATGATGTTAATTTTATTTTTTTTCGTTTGAATGTATAACCAAGGATTAATCCTTGGAAGATAAAGGAAGAGTAAATCGTAGTGTTGAGGTGTATCTAGAGCAGGGGAAGGACTAGAGGTCAGTTTAGATTAATGGATAAGGGTTATCTAAGAATTACCACCCTTTGATTACCTTGCATGATCCAATATGACAGTAATATCAGAAAGGATGTTTCTATTAGAATTAGGACTTGTTGGATCAAATCTAGAAATGCATTGTGAATTATGTATAAACCGAAAGGAAATTCTTTTTTGAAGTTGTTGAGTAAACTAAGGCATCTGTAAATTTTTCCACGGGCTTCTTTCAAGTTGTAATAGAAAGGCATGTGTCTGTGAGTGTTAGTGGTGGGGGGGGGGGGGTTGC